CTTGATTTCCCCATGCCTTTGCCCAGGTTATATGATTTGTATCATATTGCGTGCATGACATTTCCCAAAAACTGTTATGAATTTTGAAGAATTGATACTATTTTCTGAATATTGTATTTCATAATTATTGATTTTTATATAAATAGTTTATCAAAATTCATATTTTTCATGATTTAACTGGACAAAAATTACTCTTTATTTGTGCATCCAAACATACACATATTACTAACAATCTAACTTGGATGCTGGTGTGAAGAAATAGGATTCTAAGGGTGAAAATAGGAAATTTATATTATTAATATACAGAAAATAATTAGTGGATAGTGAGGACCATACGTCACAGACTCATGAGTGAGTTGCCAGTTTGTGTAGTGATTTTCAAAGTTTTTCATGTCATTAAAAATTCATAACTTTCTTATTAGTTATCCGATTTTGCTCAAACTTTTTTTGATTGGTTTGTCTGATTTTTCTGGTTCTATTGAAAGTGAGTTATTTTTGGAGTGGACTTGGGCTTTAAACAGTCGGTGGAAAGAAAAGGAAGAAAAGTAAAAAGAAATCGATATATAAATATAAGTGAGAGGAGACAGTCTCACTAACATTATCATCATATTTCTTATATTGATTTCAAATTTCTCTTGTTTTGAGGGTTTTGATAATAGGGAACAAACTTAGAAGTGGGGGAGAGGGGTAGTAGGGGGGGGGGGGGGGGGGCTAAATCAACAAAAAGTCGAAAGTCGAAAGTCGAAACGAAGAATTAAATGAAATATGATTCCTCTGTCTCCCTCTCTCTGTCTGTATGTATGTCGTCTGTCACTCACTCTCTTTTTCTCTCTCTGCCTGTATTTTTGGCAGTCTCTCTCTCTTTTTCAATCCCTTCCCTTTTCCTCTCTCACTTCCAGGAAAATGTATGGATAATAAATTATATATAACTTATTTCATATAATTTAAACTCAATGAATAAACAAATGAACAAATCAATTTATCGCCCACCTCTCTCTCTCTCTCTCTCTCTCTCTCCCTAACTTTTTTGGCCTCTTAACAAAACAAATACATGTATATATCCTCAAAGAAATTTGTTAAAATCGAGAAAAAAAGCCAATAAACACTTTTATTTCACCAGTAAACTTTATTCTTGGAGCTGCCAAATACAAATACGTAATAGAACATTCATACATATAATACAATTTAAGTCATCTTTCCCTTTTCAAATCTTAATCAAAAAAAGTATTCAACTGCTTTTAGCAATGAGCTGCACGGATTACATTTCTAAATAAAATTGAAGTGCGAAGTACAAAGGTCAAAATACATGAAATACGCCAATGAAAATGCAGCAATATTATGTGGACAATTAAAAAAATAATTATCCATATCCTTGACATAAAACGAGAAAAAAGTATTTATCTTAGAAATAGCGCATTTGCACTGCATCATATCAGTAACTTATATTTTGAACACTATGCTATTTTCAATAACATACCATTAATGGGGTCATGTGACATTTTATATCATACCATGTTTTGTTTTTAATCATTTCCTGACATTTCAAGCAAAATGAAGGTCATGGATGATGAATTGTCTTATCAAATGATTTGTCGTTTGCTCTACACGGTAAGATTCGTAATGGTAACAATTTTGACACATATTAATACAAATTTGAGGTACTTGTGATTAAAACCCCAATTTAAATTATACATACGTATACAATGTGCATTCTATACATACGTACATTGTAACATTAGCACCGGGTTACGGTTCAAGAAAGATTTTTTTTCTTAATTTGTGCATAATCACGAATAATTCACGCATTTTTAATCAGAATTATCGAATTTCATAGCCATTATATCAACGATTTTACTACGATTAAACCCAGAGTGACATATGATTTGATGATGTTTAAAAAAAATAAAATTAAAAATGAACTCAATAGAAAATGTACAAACTGAGAGCTATTAAAAACTAAATTATTCATACCACTTGTAAATATTCATGTCAGTTTGGGGATATTTCGTAACTCAAGAATCAAAGGCGGCCTGGTTGAATTAGCGCCTTCGTCGAATACTTTAAATGTAAGCTTTATTACATGAAATTCAATTTTTAAACAAGAATAAATGGGGACACATCAATTTTTCACATACTTAAAAAATAACAAAACTTGGTAAGGGTATGATTAAATTAGTTGTTAATTGTATATCACTACGACGTACCGACAAATGCTATTACCTACAAAGAGCATCCACGATGATAGTCGAATAAAATATACGGCACTTTTCTTTATACCCTATAACATCGAATTAGATTAAAGCTATACTTGAGTGGGTTTATGATCTTGTAACACAACAATGCCATTTTAGAGTCTTGCTATTGCCCACAAGTCATTGTTTCGACCTTATTTTCTACAATTTCTTTACATGCAACCAGAAATAAGAATAAGAATAATTAATCTTTAAAAAAATGACAGACTACAAGTCAATGTAAACTTTTGACGATTTTCTGAAATATGCATTATCTTTACAAGTTCTATAAATCAATCATAATTACATCACAAACACGAATATGCTTTTACTTAAACGAATACTTAGCATCCGGACAAATATATGTTAAAAGTAAAAGAAATAACAACAAGAAAGAAAGCAGAGGGATAACAAACGCGAAAATAAAACAAAGTTAGTTAGAGCTACTTGAGGTAAACAGCTGCGGGTATAATGAAGCTAAATGAGTACAAAAGATTTTATATTTACAACTATTTACAGTATCATGTTGATGCAGCAATGGAAAAAAAGTCACAGATATAGACATCAAAACAGAAACAGAGGTAATCAATGTGTCTACTTAAATACGCTCAGCTAAGGTGTCCTTTTACAAATTTATAAAGACGCATGTGGAATTGTTTCCGATAAATATTATATCTTTTCTCTCACGATTTGGCATCGTATACATTTCTGTTTTAGTTTTAATATATGTAGAATTGTTGGCAAAATGCAGCGGTGATTTTGGTGTACAGAAATTAAGATGGTGGCCGATTACAAGTGACAGGTTGACATCAAGAAAAAACAAATGTTTGTTTCAACATGTTAACTTCATTATCAGTGCAAGTACTCATATATATATATTTGTATATAATATTTATATATATTACATTATTTTTGAGACCATCGAGATAGACGATTTCGAACCTAGAATTTCTATTTCGCCTGTTAAGCACGGCAGCTAAAGAGTGAGTGCTGTCAAGTTGATGAGGTGATCAACTTTTCTCATGACATCATGTCGACCTCTGTTGCACAAATAGACGAGATGACAAGATCCCCGATCTACTTGATCGGGGCACCGTTTCACGAAACCTGTCATAAAGACAAGTTAAAAGACATCCCATTGAAACGCATTTTAAATTGTTTATTTTAATACACGGCTTTCAATGAATTGTCGGCGAACTTATACGATGACGCTTTCGTGCAACGATCCCCTTCCCCTGGTAACTGGTATTCGGATCAACGTGTTGATCTCCTCAACAGGCGCGGATCCACGTTGCGATTTCTCCGGCCTGCCCTAGCCCCCCAAAACGGTAACAAAAATAGTATAATAACGTAAATTTGACCTCTTTTTAAAACAAAAAACAAAAGCGGACCCCCTGACCCCCCCCCCCCCAGCAAAAAAGAAGAAATTATGTTTTCACCCCCTCAAAACTAATTAGTGGTTCTCCTCTCCATCACCCCCTCCCCTCTGCTTATTCACCGGCTTGATGAATCGCTGCTAAATATTTTCTCACGAATTGGGGAAAAGGAAAAAAGAGTGTTTTTACGACAAAGCTATCGCGTTTAGAAGACGGGGTCCTTGATTTCTCTTCTTATCCTGATCGTCTTATTGAATCTCGCTCCCATGATAATGTGTTCCTTATCCTAGCCCAGTATATTTTACGAGATCACAAGAGATGGTATTCCTGTGTTCCAATGGTAAGGGAGACAAGTTCACAAGGTCAGGGATCATCTTCTCGTAATAAGTTGACGAGATCATGGATCGTCTTGTATTCTCGTTGTAAGGAATTTGTGTTGACGAGATCAGGGATCGTCTTCTCGCCGCAAGGAATCCGGGTTGACACGACCAGCCTCAGGGATCGTCTTCTCGTCTTCTTCTTCTTATTATTATTTATTGGCTTTTCAAACATACAATAGAAAGTATTGTATTTGTATTAATGAAAGGATGTTGCGTTGAAAAGGTCAGGGATCGTCTTCTCGTCTCAAGGAAGTGGATTTGACGAGATCATCTTCTTGTCTTTTCGTCGCAAAGAGTTCGTGTTGACGAGACTAGAGATCCCTTTCTTCTTATAGGGCGTGCGTTAATCGTCGTAAAAATACGAGAGTACTCGTCAAAAATGCAGCAATGTTTGATTTAAGATAAATTACAATAACCAGCTACTTACACATAAAAACAGAGAAACACATTTTAAGGCTATTCATGATCGAAAAGGTATACGGAGAGGTCTATATACTCTATACCTAAACACAAAACCCCTAAACAAAATGTACCAAGTCCATGGCAACAAATACTCCACAAAAGAAACAGGGGGAACTGAGAGTTTAGGTACAAAAGTGGTAGTGCATACTGCATAAAATTCAATAAACCGTGCCCTTTCCGAAGTACTTGAACATTTCTAAAAATTCATTTGAAATAAAGTCGAAGTTAGGGAAAATCCTCACAAATGTATTCTGTGTCTATTACCTCTTTAGAATATTTTGTAATTACCCTATAAACGTTAACTAGAATATTTTTCACCATATAGTTGTAAGACATGCGTAAATTCTTCAGCTGCTTAATAACTCCGAAACTCTGTTTTCTTCGAGGTGTTTCAGTCCTGGTGGTTTTCATTCATATTTCTGAATTTCCATTTGACATATTTTGACAAAATTGTGCCCTTGTTTAATATCACAACTCATACATCATATTCACATATACTCATAATATAGCATATAATCTTTTCTAATGACTCCCATTTGTAGATTTTTCCCCTTCAATTCCATAGCTCAATTGATGCCTAATTCTATTTTTCATCACGTTAGAACACTAGTCATTTCTTGCGTGGTCTATTATGAAGACCGTCCTAGGGAAAAAGTTCACAACACGACGTCAAAAGACTACTTCGTCAAACAATCAAAAATATACAGGCAGCATTACAATCTTCGCAGCATTTATCCTTGTCAACTCTGCTGAGTTGTGACCAGTCAATCGTTCAAAATAATCATCAGTCATTTGTTCTGTTGCACTAGGTGTCACAATTAGTAGTATTTTTCCAGTCAAGAGGAATCGCGCAAATTACTTTCAAATTCCTTCTTTCACTTGTATTTTATTTGGTAGAGGGGGGCACCCAGAAATATCCCCCCCCCCAAAAAAAGGGAGGCGGATCCTGACAATGAAAAACAAGAAAAGGGCAACAAAATGAAAAAGAAATGAAGAAAAAAAAAATCACCAAATGTCTTTTTTGCTATTTCATTAAAGTAAATTACTTCGGATCCTTTCTGACAATTTAAAAATGCCGTTTTTTATTCTTATTCTATTTTAAAAAAGGAGGTACAACCCACCCTACGGTCTCGTTCATCTGCTTGGTGCGTAATGCCCGACCTACGGTTGCTATCTTACCAAAAATAAGGATTTAGGCAGAGGAGGTTTTTTTTTTTGGGGGGGGGGGGTGAAATGTTTTTGTTTTCGATTGCAATTTTACAATTTTGAAAATGGGCATTTTAAAAGTTCACCGTTTTTTAATACTTTTAATTTTGCCGGAGATGTGGAAAATGCGGCCAATAACTTGGACCCTTAGTGCAACAGAGTATAGTTACCTATAGCAGCATTTATCATCACGAACACAATCATATCTAAACCATTTTATTTGTTAGCAGCAATGAGAGAACGCCTTGCACAAAGTAATCGAATAGTCCATGGATAAAACAACAACAAAGGAAATAAAATGTGATGAATACAAACTTAATAGTTTTGTACAATCAAAGACGCTGTTTAAAGCCTCTTCATTATAGAATCTTCATCAAAGTAACATAAATTACAACAAAATAAGAAATAAAGCTGTGAGTTCTAGGAGTCAAATATGTTCACTTTGAAATGAGACAAAATGACAGCGCCTATTCATTTGAATTTACTCCGGATTTAACGCTTTGAAAACATGTGACCCGGTCAAACAAAAATGATGTAATATTTGTATTTTAAACTGACATCGTATTTAGGCTTGAAAGCTTGTTTGAAAAGTTTAACAAAAACAGTAGACCTGTGAAACTCTCTTCTTTCAATTCTTCCTTCTTTTCAATATCTTCTAGAATCTATACATAATCAGGTGCATCAACAATTTTGAGGAATAAAAATCAGTTGCTTTAGGTTTCCATAAAATTCGAGCAGCAATTTTGAAATCTGCAGACATTTTGTGAGGACAAAGAGCAGCATATCCCGTAAAACATCAGCTGACCTTACCCAAAATAAGATTAGGTACAAGTACATAAAACTATGATACGATAATATATTTGGCTATTCTGTACAAAATATTCAAGCTGCATAAAAAATCTAAGCTGCATAAAAACGTTAAACAATTTCTTTCCTTTCAAATGCGGTACTTGTGTATATACAAAGCAGCAAACGCATCGCCAGATATCGTGTATTTACACGATTGGCGTGCGGTAATCAGCCCGATCCGACTGGCTACATTAATGTCCACATAGTTTTCTGAGGTATATATTTTCAGCCCGCACGCGTTGAACAATAAATCTATGTATCTAAAACATAGTTTCTGGCACACGCGCAGAAAGGCTTTTATTTCTTTTTCATTTGAATAAACCCGTTCAAAGATTGGATCCAGTGAAGATCACTTGTAATCAATAAAACTGTATCAGAAACTTATTATTTCTGACGGCAATTGGCGCCCGTAATTGCTCCTTTGTCTTCTGTAGAGGAGACGGTCTATTCACGCTTTACGTTAGACCACTCGGCAGGCACCACACTGTCATCATCGTCGCTTTCATCGGTGGTTCCATCGTCCACATCGCCACCCTCGTTTTCATCGTCGTCTCTCCCATCACCTCTCTCATCATCATCAACATCATCTTCATCATCCTCTTCCTTCAGAATAATGATGTTATCATCATCATCATCATCGTCGTCGTCATCGCCGTCGTCATTGCCGTTGCCGTGTTCGCCGGACGAGCCGACGAGGCCTAGCTGCTGTTGCTGTTGTTGGGTGAGTTGACTCAGGGTCATACCGTTAGGGCTGTTACACATGAACTGGGAAGCCAGATTCCGCCAATACTTACGCTTCTGTGCCGGTGGGTAGCCCGAGTTTGGTACGCTACGGAGCTGTCGACGGATGTTTCGTATGGCTTGACTGAGTTGGTTGTTAAACTTTCTCTGGAAAGTTAAAAGATAGTTGTAGATTAGCAAATAAGTATGTGAACCCTGATAAAATGTGTTTGCAAAACTATAAACAAATACTATATTTTTTTCTCCAATTTTTATAAATCATATGAGTTTTTTTTAAAGCCTGCATTCTGCTACAATTCAAACGAAATTCGATTGCGCTTAGGACCAATGTTTACATTTCCATTTAATTCTATTCTACTCAAACATAGCATGAACCCCAAGTGGGGTTAAATGTTTTTGTTACATTACGAGTCGGAAAAGCTAAGGTTTCTTTATAATATGACATGTTTAATACTAGTATTCTTCTGAAACCAATGAAAATATACACATTTGACCAGTCAGTGTCTGAGAAAGTGATATAGAGTAGATGAGTGGGGAAAATGGATGGAAGAAAAAAATAATCAAGAAAGGAAAAATATTAAGAGTTAAGAAATTATAATTGTTTACCCATGGCACATCTTCATCTGGTGACGACAGAACGGGGAAGTTTTCTACGATTGTCTTGCTGATGTTACGATATTCGGTGTGGCTGGGCGTTGGATTCAAGCTCATGTAATACTGGGCACACTCGTACGTGAAACGCGATCGGAAATTGGCGATGTTCCCTCGTCCGATCTGCTGCCTGAGGAGCTGGGAGAAGCTGGGTAGCGGTGCAGGGTAGGGGATCTCGATCACTTGCTTGTGGGCTGATTTCATCCGCTGGATGATCTTCTTGTACTTCTGTGAGATCTTGGCGGATCGGATGGCCCCCTTGGTGGCTGGACGGCCGCGTGTTCCAATCAGCGGCATCGTGACTGGGACATTACTTGAGGTGGGTTGTTGAGAATTATGAGGTTGTTGAGAACTATGAGGATGTTCGCTAGGAGAAGCTGTTGAGGTAGTAGATGTGGCAGGAAGGTCTTTGTCATCTTTGGAGAGAATTTCAACGATCCTCTGAGTTACAGTGGGAGGAGGGGGAGGTGGAGGAGCAGACGTGGGAACAGGTGCGATGGATCGGTGGTGGTGGTGGTGGTTTGGCGGTGGAAACATTGCTGATCTTGATGTGGCAGCCTGACTGGACCCAACCGTAGTAGATGCAGAGGTGGCATGGGCAATTGGCTGCTGATGCTGTTGATACGTTTGCTGATGAGGCAATGCTCGTGCGGCAAGAGCTGCGGCAAGGGCCTGGTTGGCAACTGACACATTGAACTGTCCAGCGATGGGGGCAAACGGAAAGGAGACTGCGGGAGCACCATGAGGCATCATTTGGTTGCTATGGATACCTGATACTTGAGGAGACATGAAGCGATGCATCTGGGCGGAGTTAAACTCGCGTTCTCTAGGTGATATTACGGGCTGCACGTTAGGAACCATGGTAACAGCGAGAGGATTCAGCTTAGAGCGAGAGGTAGGCTGACCATTGTCATTATGAACAATCTATAAGATTTGGAAGACAACACAAAAGTTGAACTTGTATGATTGATATCTGGATTTGGCATTAAGGTTCCCTGCAGAGTTGAAATCGCACTTATCAGATGGACATTGAAGAGGTTTATCTTAATCCTGTTTAATGTGGTCATTACCCGGGATAAATTTATCGATGTATTATGCTTAAGATGTCTTAATGCGCTTTGAGAGATTGTTTAAACGTACCGGCCCGAATTCACAAAGGAGGTTTGTCGACAAACCTAGGTTTAAGTGCGTCATATGACGCGTTTTGATGCGTTTTTTGCAAACCTGGTTTGTAAAAACGCGTCGAAACGCGTCATATGACGCACGAAAACCTAGGTTTGTCGATTGTAAATTCGGGCCACCAAGTTGCAAGAGGAGCAAAAAAACAGAAACAACTACATACAATATTTCTCAGCTTTTTCATCACAACAACATTTCAATTTGTTTACATTCTTTCAAAATTCTGGGCTGGAAAATTATGATTTATTCTTAATAGTAAAGTTCCAGCGCATTTTAACCGCTGTCTGAGAAAAACCAAGGACTCTAACTAAGCGAAGGAGAAATGAGGAGGACCAATGTCAACAATATTTGTTCTGACAACTTTCATAGATTACCCTTATAAACTCGTCGGCAATTTTGTCCAACAACCCTTTATTCAAAATGATCTAGCGACGACCCTGTAACAGACAGAAAAACTTTATTTCCATACCTGTGTATTTTCTTGCGAGTCCTGTCGAGGTAGTGGATGAGGGCGCGGTGACAAGAGCGGGGATCTTCGCGACACGTGACTAGATGCTGGCTTATGATTGGCCTCTCCGTTGTGGGCGTGGTTGGCGGCATTCCTGTGATTGGCTACAGCTTGAGTGGCGTGATTTGTCTTGGAGCTGAGTTGTTGGGCGTGGGCTGGGGCTTGTGTTGGCGTTGGCTTCTGTGCTGGTGGCTCATGGCTGCATGCGTTTCCAGCTGATCCTCCATTGGTGTGACAATGTGAACATCTAACGTCCTATCAAACATAAAAGTACCAAAGCATAAACTAGACTGAACACTCTTAAAACTCTTTAAACAAAGATAAAGGAGTCGAGTAAAAAACATAACATATCCATGACAAAATAAATTCGAAACCTAATGATTGGCACATCAATTAGTAGTCTTTATAGAGATGCGAAAGTCATCTGATATCGTTGACCCTTGTATTTTGTTTGAAAAACTTGAAGCTTTTGGTGAGTCAGATGATAGTCTTATCTGGTTCAAGAGTTATTTGAGCAACCGCTAAATATGTACATGAGTGAATCATGCAGCATCTTATCTTTTATATCCATTATGGTACGCCCCAGGGCTCAATTTTAGGGGCATTAGTATTTACTGTTTATGATTTTATCAATAATATTGACCGATGTAGATAGATAGATGTATTTATTAGTCTCTTGCAAACACACAAGAAATTTGAAGTGAACAATTGGTTGCAATTTAAAACAAAAAGCATGAAATGGTAACATAATTGCATAGTTTAGAGAAATATTATATGAAGCCAAACAATACAATAGAAAAACATAATTTCAAGTATTCCCCTTATTTTCTTATAAATAATAATACTTATTTAAACATATTTGTGGCTTACACCCAGTAAATAATCTTATTTACTGGGTGTAAGCCACAAATATGTTTAAATGATTGAAATTTCTCCCAGGAAGCATTACAATTATGAAAGTTAGAAAAAATCATGATACTGTTTAGCGAGAGGAACAGAGTAGAAAAGAAATGAAGGTAAAGAATGGAAGCGAAGATGCAGGCCGGAGCAAGGGGGAGAAAAGGACCGAAAGGTACCAGAACAGAAGAAAAAGAAAAAGAAAGGCAAAGAAAGGCAGAGAAAAGAACAGAGTAAGAAGAAAGAAAACGTATAAGAAACAGAAAGGAGACAGAGAGGTGAAGAGAAAAGTGAAATAAACTATATAGATAAACAGAAGAAAAGAAATAAGACGGAAACGTCCCACACACGGTTCAAGGACACCTACCCTCTGGACATCCACTCCCCCCGGATAACCACCCCCAGTCAACTACCCCTAGGACAACTACCCCCTATGACAACTACACCCCAGACAACTACCCCCAGTCAACTACCCCTAGGACAACTACCCCCTATGACAACTACACCCCAGTCAACTACCCCTAGGACAACTACCCCCTATGACAACTACCTCCGGACAACTACCCCCTAGGACAATTACCCCCAGGACAACTGCCCCGGACTCTACCTCCCGGACAACTACCCCTACGACAGCCATCCTCTAGGACAACTACCCCCAGACAACTGTCCTAGGGGGTAGTTATCTGGGGGATAGTTTTCCGGGGGTAGTTGTTCCGGGTGGTAGTTGTTCCGGGGGTAGTTGCCCTAGGGGGTAGTTGTCATAGGGGGTAGTTGACCTATATAGGCAAATTATATACTATTCATTTAAAATATGCTTATGTCACAGTAATTTGTTTTTCTCATAAAGATGTAACATGTATAGAACTTACACCGAAAACATTTATAAACGCTTGTGTTCGAATAAGTTAAGTTTAAACTGTGACAAAACAGAAAGTCTGTTAGTTGGGTCTCGTAAAATGTTAATGCAATTAAGCTACGTATACAAAAATAAGGTTACTCAGTCACAAGAAACTGTAAAATATTTAGGAGTTATAATAGATAAATAGTTGAAATGGGATAGACATTCAAAATACATACTATGCGCAAAAGTTACTCGGCTTGTTAAATTTAAGGGCCGTCTTCGTAATTATTTGAATGAATCTAACTTGAAATGTATTCAGCAATACATTATTCAGACAGAAATGCCAGTGAAAACTGAGATAACATATTGCAATTTTCGAGCTTATGTTTATGCATTGTCATCGATAAGTTGTTGTTGTTGTTGTTGTGTCTTTGTCTTGTGTTGTGTCTTTAAAAAAAATCTGATTATGTATAATATTTTTAGGTAACCCGTGATCCATTTCCGTGAAGAAAAGACTTACGGGTTAAATAATGATAATAAAAAATAAAATAAAATATTCCTCAATTCGATTTCTCTCGTTTTTTATCTTTTATTTCAGGAACCATCGGTATAGAACAGCTATGTTGTAATGGCAAAAATGAGCAGAGTGTTCATTCATAATTTTTTTCATCATATTACCATATTATGTTAAATAGAGGTGTTGTGGTCTAGTGTATCACCCGATTGCATATCACAAGGCACGGGGTTAGACACATCGTTGATGTATTAGGCGCTATATAAAAGCGCAATTTTATTACATATTTTTAAAAATTCATCTTTTAGATTTATGACTGTGAAACATTAATTTCATTAATAAATTCAATAATTTACTCCCATCGAATAGGCCCACATGTAATACGCATTTTTAGTTTAATACCTAGGCTTAATGCAAGTCCGTGATTCAATGTTTCATTGCATCTGTGGATTAAAAGATCTTTGAAATATTCAAGCAACTACTATCTGGTGTTTAGGCTGTTCCGATGAAAATTCAAACCTCTAGAAGTCTACCATGGATAGGAGGCCATTATCATAAATATATGATTATTTATTATTTCCGTGGCAGTAGTAACATTTCGTCAATGTCAAGTAAAGGGGGTATCTCACTGAGCGGCTAATACTTACGAACGTTGCGAATGTGGATTTGCCAACTTTTCTGACGAATGTTGGCGAAAATCAGCGACTTTTAGTGACGTGTAGCGACAATTAGCAACATTTGTAAGAAAGTTTCCGAAATTGTTTGCGAAAGGCAGTTGGCGACTATTAGCGACTGTACTCGTGGTACTCAATGTGGCGATTTTTATAAAGGAACCATATGGTAACATCATTACATGGTCGCTAGCATTGGCGAATCAAAGAGAACTGACGAAAACAAAGAGCGACACCGTCTGACAACCGTTTGCAAATGCTTACGACTGTTACGCCTGCAACTGTTTGCAGATGGCTAACAAGAAACAAGAAAAACTTTTTGCAACATTGACAACTATTGGTGAACTTTCTTGCAACCTTTGGCAACCTTTCACGAACCCTGGCGAAACCCCAAATTCGGTACGTTCGCAAGCACTCGCCGCTCAGTGAGATACCCCCTTAACGAAGTATACCCATCAAAACGATGAAAGTATGTCCTTTTTTGTGTGTCCGGCACGGACATTTGATTAAACCATGGACCTACTACTTAGTAGGTCCATTACTAAACTTAACTTGAAATTAGACTTGACATGCAGTTTTACAAGCCTAGCTTTTCAGCATGTCCTTTCTTTTTTCAAAGAATCAAATTCCCTTATGCTCATAACTTGTGTAACAATATATTATAAAATTGTCTTTGTTAAATTGCTATTTGCTCATATTTATGAACACTCTTCTTCATCAGAAAATGCACTTATTTTTTGCACTAAATATCTGTTTTGTTTATACTATTTGAAAATAGTAAAGAAACAAATGTGAAACTGAAGGTGAAATGTTAGGCGCGCACTGGTCCGTTGTATACGAGGTGTCATTTCGATTGGGTCACTATAAATCGAGATTCATGAAATTAGCCAATGAGTCAGTAATTTTGCATTAACTTTGAGAAAGATGCCATAGGAGTGTCGTGGTCGAGTGGTTTAAGGCGCTTGATTGGAGATGCGAAGGTCGAGGATTCGAATCCCGACACGGCACTAATATCCTTTGGCAAGATATTAACCTGCACTTGCTACTCTCCACCCATGTATTAAATATGTACCCGGTAGGATGCGACCGTCCTTGTTGATCAAACAGTCTTTGAGCGTCAAGTAACGCCTGGCTGGAATGCTCCCAAGGGAGTGGAGATTGTGCACGCAATGTGTGCGGGCAAGTATTGAATCCAATGACCGGGGTAATAGTATATATGTAATGCGCCTAGAGACATCATAGATGTATTATATATATATATATATATATATATATATATATATATATATATTTAAAAAAAGTTTCAGGCCTTTCCATATGGGGCCTAGCCTGGACTATATTCAGCGCTATATAAAAGCGGAAATATTTTATTTTGACATGCTGCGTCAATGATTGCGCCAGTCACTGACGCACTCCTGCATCAGCAAATATCGCCTCGTCGTTATTGCATTGATCAGCAATTAACGCAACGAGAACGCCACCGTCGTGCTTATGAAATCGTTGTCTCGATCAACTGGGCATCCAAAGTTAAGAAGATACAAATAGGTTTTCAATCATGTACTGAACATTGAAATTTTGTAATCTCTTTTTCAAATAAAATTTGAATTTATGTGACACAAAAATTAGTGGCAAAATTACTCGGAAACTAAAATTATACTGTTCGATTTACATCTTTTCAAATTTGATATAGGCCTAATACCGCAAAAGGAACAGTCAGACTTGCTTACACGGCGTTTCAGCATAAACAATGCACCTGTATATTTGGCTGTGAATTATCAACCAATCACAAATTAAAGATTTTGCAAGCAGGACACTGAGAAGCAATGCGCGTCGCTGATTGGTTGAAAGTTACGTGGTTAAAACAATAGGACGTCCGCGCGACCGTCCAGGTGCGTGTTTTGGTGATATTTGAAGATGGTTTGTACAGATATTTAAAAACAGTTTGATGAAGGGGAAAAACACTCTTTATCAACATTTAGTGTCAACAAACTTCAATCAAGTACTTTCTCAATTCACATGGTGTAAATTTGACGTTTATTTGTATTGTTGTACAATTATCAATTGTAATTTGTACCAATTTATCTTGAAAATTTCCTGAACTAGTTTGGTGCAAATAAGTACGACTAGACACAAACGATAATTGCGTTCATATGTTCGCATGTGACTGAAAAGTGCTATATAACGTTTGTGGCTTAGAAAGACATGCAGTACACAACAATAATGTGCAGGCTTACCACGCACACCTTTTGTACAATAATGATTTACAGTTTACACACTCGCCACACACAAATATTCAATGACAACATGTTCGTGTAGACCCCGGGTAGACCCATATAGCTCTGCAATTGTATTGTCTTCTTCTTCACGGGCGCTGTGTATATATGGCATATTGGGGTAAAAGATTTAAAAGGCCTGACTTACTTTGAAAATATCCCTGAGCATAGCTTTGAACGTGAGACGATCTTTCAGCGAAGGAAAAAGTGTATGAATCTCTTCGCTGTCTGCTCGCAGCTGCTTTAGCGTCAATCCATCGATATCATTTGTTTCGACGACTTCCAAAATCTTCTTCTTAACTTCTTCTCTGCTGTCGTCATACGACCTCATCCAAGTCATGACAAGCCTCGTGCTCCATTTTACAGGGTCCTCTGTGCTAGGTCCCTTCTGCATCGTGTTAAAATATTAAATTATATACGTGCTAGCAAATCATCTTTAGAAATAGCGCCTGCCATTTTGCTTGCACGACCAGCCCACCGTACCGTGCCACTGTGTATATATCGGCGCACAGGTTCTATATATTTTTTTTACAATAAGTATTGAACGGTGGCCAGTGTGCGGCATTCTAAGCCGTGCTCTACACACTGTCTAGCCACACACCCATACACAACACAGAAAACCATACACACACACTCGGGCTGTGTTGTCACGGCACATTGCATTGGTTTTGCACGCACGTTTTTTCTCGTCCCCTTATCCAATGCAAATTAGCACACCTACACGTATGGTCGCACGCTACCACACTACACATTTTTGCCGGACTGGTTCACTTGTCCAGACGGGTGAGATTCGTTGTTCGTGTTCACTCTGTGCATTTTGGATAGGATTCCGTGCTAGACGGAGGGACCTGTCTGGCCAAGTAAATAGAAGTGTCGGAAATGGGGGACAGGTCATGAACTCAGACCAATACAATACTAGTCTCGCATCCAGACTGAATGAATGCATTTGTCATTGTATGCTGGCAATATCAATATGGAATTTATTGCAGTTGCGATCTTCAGAATAATGTGATGACTGGTAGAAAAAGTAGCAACATTTCCTAAAAGTGTTATCTACATTTCCGTAAATTTTCCGAATCAATCAATTTTGTCACATTTCTTTGATTCTAATTGTCTGATAACAACAGGTTTACTATATTATGCAGCTTTAAAATGTGTTACTCAAAGAATTGAGTTTGAAGAAAAAAGTAGAAATGAAGTAGATAAATTTAGATCCGGCCCCGACGCGATCTGTCGAGGCAATGAGGTACTGCGTAATCTTTCCCCAATTTTTGGTAATTCATCTTCATTCAAAGGATTAAATTATTTTCATCATTTCATAAAAAAACACATGAGACTTAAACGTATGGTAAATGTAAAATATCTATTTTTCTGTATACTGTCTGTTCGTTTTTATTATGTTCATAGTTTTAAATGTTATTTGTTATTTGTTTCCTTTTTCTCGTGGCTCCTGTCACTAGGCCTTGCGTACAAAATCTATAAAAAAAAAAAAGAAAAAAAAAAGCAAAACTTAATAAACAAACAAAAATAAGATTCTGCTATCAAGATTGATTAATCGAGCAACTACACTTTTGCCCATAAATTTTGAATAATTAATTCTTACCTCTTTCCATGAAATTATATTTACCACATGTTTTCTGTTTTCCTTTATAAACATGTATATCTACTTCGGTATTAATTGCTCAATCTCTCCATGAATCTTTAGATTCTGAGGTTCTGAGAAGATATACACTTTATCTAAAAAGAAAATATCTTATTCTTACAACCACAATCACGTTATCAAAAAAGTAAAGAAAAATGATTCCCACTTATCGGCAACAGTGTATGATTGTTGAAAAAGCAGCCTCATTGTGACGTCATAAGAATTTGTGTTTATTCGTGTAGCTTTATTGTGACGTAATAAGTGTTTACACTTTGGACGAATGTAGCCTATTGTGACATCATAAATAGCGTGCGCATCAGGCAATGTTTTGGTTCGTGTCAACTTGTTATGACGTCATATAGCGCGCAGACGATGTTTTGATTTGTGTAGCCGTGTTGTGACGTCACAAATAATGCGCATCTGAGGATGTGTTGATTTGGTTCGTTTCGACTATTATGATGTCATAAAGCGTGCATACTGCGCGCAGACAATGTTTTGGTTTGTGTAGCCTTGTTGTGACGTCACAAATAATGCGCATCTGAGGATGTGTTGATTTGGTTTGTTTCGATTTTTGTGTGACGTCATAAAGGAGTCACTCTTTTAGTCAATGTTTTGCTTGTAAAGGCTTCGCGCGTCGATAATTAATTATTCTAGCCCAGCGATAACATCTTTAAAGACTCGTTGCTCTATCAAAATGAAATACAATATATAAAAAGGACGGACAAGCAAAAAAACTACAACCGGGACTCTCTGTTTGGTCTTTCAGAAAATAAGATATCAAGATATAATATATACTTTTAAAAAGTATATACATGTAATTGTATGTTTTGGTTTATCTCTATTCAAAAGGGCAGGTAATTTCCGTTTTGGGCGATTGTTATTCTTTTTTCCATATAACACGGGGAGGACATTACAAACTATGTCTACTTTTTGAAGTCGTGTGGGGCACATCCCCCTTTCCTCGGGATTTCTACATATTAAAAAAAGGTTTTCATTTCATAGATAATATTCACTACGCTGTATATTGAGATAAATTGGTAATTTGACCATGTTTTTGTCATGCAGCCCCCCCCCCTCCCCACTAGTCACCATATTTGTTTACTAGAAATTATGAATTCCTACATTTCCCTAGAAAATCTTCCATATTTTTACCAAAGCTACATTAGTGGTAACAAACTCTAACGTAGATTCCGTAAAATAGTAAATGGCAATTCTTAAACATTTTGAAAATGAACATTTATCGATAAACAGACAAATGATCTTCGTAAAACCGTTAAGTCATTATTGTCATTGACCTTCACCCAGATATAAGAAATCATGAGAACAATACATGAATAAATAAGTACAAAAATAGATAGATAAATCAATAGAGAGAAAAAAAAATCATTCGAGAAGCCGTGTACTAGGGTTCAGTTTAAATGTGGGCGCTGTATTTCAAGACCAGCTGGTTTACGCAATTTATTCAATCAGCTAGAAAGCATTGACAAGATATTTCTCGTATCATCCTTTTCTCATACTCTCTACCTGTCTCCCTTTCTGTTCTTGACATTCCTGGAGGGGGGAGGTGTTCTTACTGATTTAAAAAAAAGGAATGTGTACGATGTAACTTTCCTTTCAAGAAGCAAAGAAATCCAGAAATCGATACATTTTGGGCAGAATCTCCCCAATTCAAAGAGGGAGAAGATAGGAGTGTAGTCTGGCTCAAACCCGAGGTGGACGTACCATTGCGTCTTACTATATTAGGGAGGTGTCTATAATCTACTTACAGCGTTTAACAATGTTAAATATGAGAGTGACCGGTTTTACCATGCTCATTTTCCCCAATAGACTGTTGTGTTGTAAAAAAAAACGTTAGGATAACCGAATAATGAAATTTCGATTTCCAATCAAAAATATCTTGATAATCAGACAGGCGATCGGCTTGAAAAAGTTATGGAATTCATGGAATTAATACCGAGTCACTTTAAAGGGCATTCCAACCGTTATAATAATTGTATGAAAGCAGAAAAATAAGGGAAACAGAATGACGAAACTTATAAATCGGACCGATACAAAAAGAGAGTTATGAATAATTAAAATATTAATTCACCAAGTCTATGCAAATCTCAAACTGGCAATCTGGTCAGTGGCTAGTGACGTTGTCACGAAGATCTCTCTCGTTTCTCGTGTACACAAATTTCAATAATTTCTCTGTTTCTCCTACATGACTTCTCCCCCAAGGCACTACTCAAAATAGATTGTGGATAGCATATTGTATTATAGGAGAAAGGATCTTCCTGAGTCATACATTTTGAAGAAAACAAAAGATATTTAGGTAATAGTGTTTGTTGAAACTAATGGGAAAGTTGTCCGGTATTACGGGAGATTGACAGTACCGATTCGGCCAATTTCAAGTGAGGTGCCCATACGTATATAGGCCCATAGTGATAACAACTATAAACAAAACAAAATAAGAGTATTTTATAAATGTAATGCTTCCTGGGAGAAATTTCAATAGTTTAAACATATTCAATTACAGATCGATCAATCGATCTTATTTACTGGGTGTAAGCCACAAATATGAATAAACTATTGAAATTTCTCCCAGGACGCATTACATTTAAAAAATGTATTGTCCTATGGCGGACTCATGAATATTAATATGTCAGAATGAATCAGGAGAGCTTGGGTATTTGTTTCTAGTTCATCGTGACTGTGCCATGGACCAGTGATGGCCTGGTGGTAGAGTCGCTGCCCGGCAAGCAGTAGATGGCAGGTTCAAATCCCGCTGGTTCCAAGATTTTTTCTGACTTGTTTTTCAATTACAGATCGATCAATCGATCTTATTTACTGGGTGTAAGCCACAAATATGTTTAAACTATTAAAATAAGAGTAAGTTGCTTAAAGAGAAGGTTCATTGATTTAAAAAAGTAACTTTAATGTCATTATCGCAAAGGTGACACTTTGATTGGCCAAGGTTATCAAAAGCCAATGCTTGGAAACATTCTAAGTAATGCTTATTGACGATTACAAAACGCTTAGATACATCCCCGACATAGCGCCTGAAAAGGTCCCCGGTCGCTGCTGAGATATGACGTCACATGTTGAACATGATGTGCACAAGCAGACGATGTCCCATGACATCTGACACAATATCAGTGCTGTTTTGTCATTTTTTCTTCACTTATTTCTCTTACTTCAATACCCTCAAGCGAAATGTTTAATCTATTGCCTCACTCTTAACCCCGCGCATGGTATTATTTTCATGGAAAATGCAAGGATAAAAAAAAAAGGAATCCGTCGCTTGTAAACAAAATAAGACGCCATTGTATTTTCAGCTGCATATACACCGCGGCATGTTCGGCGTTTCAAGAGGTAACAAATGACGTCCATGCTATCATTCCGGTGGTTTTTTAATTTGAAAGTATGGTTTCTTTGATTGTTCATTAACCCATATCCTGTGTATTTACAAATAAAAGAATTTAGTTATCAGAATGGAGGTCATATCCCTTTTTAAATGGTGTAAAATTCCATCACATTTATATACACTAAACTCTATAATTTGAGAAATTAAAGCATTGCCATTATGTTCATTCTTTATGGGATATGTCGTCTGCTTGGGCAGGGTTGGTTCATATTGTGACGGCATGAAAACATCGTTATTTTTCCGGCGAATCTCTCGCATATCCCAGATGCTATGGAGGTTGTTTTATTTGTATTTTTATAAACCACCCGATATGTAGTTGACCTAAAACTTGCATGATGGCCATCTGTAAGCTTACCAGTTTCTAGTAATACGCTATTTGCCATATTTGTGATTTTCTATGAACCCGCACTTTAATAAGGTTGGATTTTCCTTAAATTCTGTTCAACGGTTGCATGCCAATTATTTTACAGATACTCGCCTTTCTCTCCATAAGCTTAAATTTTAAATGTGCTCTGCTGCGTTGTTTGCGATATCGCATCACCACTGGGCAGGAGTTTTCGGAGCAATTCTATTATTAATCTACGAACATTTTAGAGCAATTTAAAAATTATTTACCTTGACATAATTTTCTCTTTTGATTTAAAGTCCCTCTAAAGTGTTGGGAGCCCCAAAAATCTAATGGCAAAATTTGAAATAAATGTTATCATAATGTGAACGAGGGTGTCAATAAAGACATATTTCTGCATTCAACAGAAAACCCAAATTATATACTCTTTTATCATTATTTGTCTTCAGACACATTGTTTTGGGGAAATATTTGCAGAAGTGTCTCTGACTCCTTTTTCACATTATGATACAATTTAAGTTAAATTTTGCCACCAAATTGTTGGCGAATTTAGGGCTCCCAACATTTTAAAGGGGCTTTATGAAATAGTTATTGTAATTGTTCTCAGTTGGAAATTGTTTGAGTGATCGATAGGCAAGTTACCTTCTTGATCTTTAAAAGAATGCCGTATCATTATAATGATACTCTAATATCTCTTTATCTCTCTCACTCTTTCTTCTCCCCAATATATTTACGTAATAATAATAATGATGGCGATCAGGATGATAATTATTATTATGTGTTTTTTTTTTTGGGGGGGGGGGCGGGGGTCTTATCTTCATGTCTGTCAAATTAAACATTCCTGGCGCTCCAGAAAAAACACCGATTGACTCCTTGCTTAATTTTGTTCTCACATTTTGTCATAAACTGTTGTAAACAGCTATAAACAGCGTTTCTTGTTATTATCAAATAAATTGGATAGTCAAGATTGAGGCTTGCAAATACTAGAGGCCTATGTGGGAAATCAAGCAAGCAGTTTTGCCGATATTATATTTTTGGTTTGCCTATAGATATAGAGCTAGGAAAATAGCGTTGGATGTTGAGTTAATAGTAAAATTTTCAAGGTTAAACCACAAACATTGACTATAAGCATTTATCTCATAGCTTAAATCAATATGTAAGAAAATGTGTCGAGCTCTATGAATGCCCTAATTCTGTTGGAGGGGCGCCATTACAATATGTATTCGACTATTATATTGAAATGTGCTGCCAACTCCAGGATAAGTATTTCTGTCCATTTAGTTTCAAACAACAGACTGAGTTTTTGAGGTCGACATATGATCTTTAAATCCAGTTTATTCAATTTGGACACGTTTTATGTAATAGTTAACTCAAGGCACAACAGGGCCTACCCAATCACTCTTAACGTAAAAGGTATTCATCAATATAGTAATAACAAGTTTTTAAAAAATCACATCTATCTGGAAGTAATTATTTGTTATCAAATTATCGAATAAGGCTTTGGGGGTAATCCGATCTGCGCCCTTGGTGTAAAGCATATAGCAGAGAATAAAAATAATTGGAGAGATAGGAGTGAAAGATAGAAGACATACTGGAGAAGAGACACAAATAGTTTTTATGTGTGTCCGTTGTACTTTTAAATACAACATTTCTCCATTCGAATGGGGCAAGGGGTATATCCCCTCTTGTTTGTTGTACTCAACACCCCCTCCCTTTGAGGAAAAAAAGGAAAAAGAAAAAGAAAAAGAATGGGGGGGGGGGGGCTAGTTTGGGGGCCAGGGACCCCCCTCTGGATCCGTCCATGTAAAGCAAGGTACCCGAATATATCCGATATGTTTTATACGTATAGAGAAATTATTTGTTTAACTTTCGCTCCGCTTGCTCGCAACATTTAGAAACAGGACTTTGTGAATAAACGAGATGCCCGCAAATCTTTATATTCGGGTCACCAATGATGAAGTGCTGGATAGAGTGAATGCCTGGAGAAAGGTGCTTGAGAAAAACAATATGGAGACTGGAGAAAAACTGGACAGGACGCATCGTATGGGAAAACATGCACATGGACACCTTGGAACAAGACCTAAGGAAGGTGGATGATAAACGGGGAAGAAGAAGACCAAGAATTGGGATGATGTTAATCATGAAAGGTCACATATCATATGATATAATGAAGAAGAAGGCTAAAAATAGAGAGGGGTGGAGAAAGAAGCTCTAAAGAAGGATTTCGTGTGTGAACCTGCCTTTGGCAGAACACCTGAGAGAGAGAGAGAGAGAGAGAGAGAGAGAGAGAGAGAGAGAGAGAGAGAGAGAGAGAGGGAGGGAGAGAGAGAGAAGCCTAGTAATGTAATTCAGTCATTTCATACTTCTTATATTACCACACATAATTTAATTGTCTATATTATTGCATACTAACTGGTCATTGTATTGAAATTTGATTACAATTATTATTTCTTGATTAATAAATCTCAATTCATATTCGCCACGTTAGTCGTTCTTTGAATGGATAAATGTATTTTCTCAAGAGTATTCTGTCCTTTGCATTTGCACTTGGCTATAACAGTATTTTTCTAAAACGAAACCCGAAAGTAATGCAAGAATGATCAACAAGAATAATTGTTATTTTGTCATGTGGATTCGTTTCACGCACATTTAAACAAACCACGAACAAAGTGATGTAGCGCCAGCTTTTGATGACTTTTTACCAGTTTCAACTTTTTTGTTTACATACATAGCTTATTACAATACTTTACATGTTTTTTTAACAAGATTTTTGTTAAAATTAACATGTAATTGAGCATAAATAATGTCCACAAATATACGATTTTATTTCATATTTTAATAAATTTCATATTAAATTATATCAATTGTAATGAAAATACAAAAAACACAAAAGCATATCATTGTTCAAATGATAGAGACTTTAAAAAGACTAATTTTTCCAGCTGCCTTTTTGACGTCTGGATAATACACATGTTTCTCCTATTGTGCTCGCTATAGAATATAGGCGGTTAGTACGAATCTGCAGACGACAAACTCTTGGACAACAGAATTTTATATTTATTCTTCTCTGTGAAGTGCATTTCCTTACTGTCTTTGGAGAGAAGATCATATACCGGTAAGCTTTTAGAAATTGTACATAGTTTGGCTGGTTGAACTGAAATGATGGACATTTCACGTAGATTTTAGATGCGGGCTCCGGCTCTGTCTCTGGTAGACCGAATTTTCCGTCTCTTTCGTTCGTTAGCCTCTTATTGGGGTAGGGTCGGCTCTCTCTAAAGAGAGAGCCGACGGTGCCGACCCTACCCCAATAAGAGGCTAACGAACGAAAGAGACGGAAAATTCGGTCTATGTCTCTGGCTGATCAAACATCGCCACACTCCACCAGTACCAGTTGAGGTGTATAGCTTGCAGCAGATCACCTGAAAAAATATTGTGTGTATACCGATACCGGTAGGTGAATTGAATAAATTTAACCTAACAAAAATTATCTGGCATTATATTGTTAAAACGGTCAGGCGTAAGAAGAAAATAGAGGATATTAACACAAATGCTGTGTACTATATATTCATGATATTGGGCCTTAGTTTAGATCTAGATCTAGACCTATGTTTAACTTTTAGAATTCAGTCGCGTGACGAAGTTGTTCGTCTGAAACTCACATTTAGTCTACAGGTTTGTGTGTAAGGTCTACGGAAAACTGGAAAAATTATTTAAACAGCGGGTTTGGTTATATTTTTTTAAATGTAAAGAAATACCGGTAGTAATTAAAATTTAGACTTACAATGATTTTTGACGGCTCAGGGCATCCGGTCAATCACTTGAAATTATAATTTGAAGATGTCTTTGAGCTTGATGGGAAAAAGGGTGATTCCTTGTCCTAACACAATTCATCCATATTGTATATCGTCGATTCAACATGGCGAAGAGAAAGTATGCATGCGCGGTAGGGGCACAGCAACAGGGTCCTGATCAGCATCAGACGTGCCTTTCAGTGTCATGACACATCCACCATTCCCAAGCTGTTTAAGGGACTAGTGCGCCCCCTCCTTGAGTACAGTCGCCACTGGTGTTACTGTAAATGATTTTCAGAAAATTACTGCAACAAAAGCATGTTTTCATAAACATATAGAACGTTTAACATCAATTTTTATCGCAACCCTGTTATAATGACATTTTCTTCATGAGAGTAACATTAATATTGCAAAGTGAATAAGTCATATGAGTCGCTAAGTTTTATCAAAATGTCAAAAATATGAAATATGATAAAAATATTTTTTCTTCTAGATATTGGTCCATAATTTAGTGCTGTAACATCACGGATATCTCCAATTTCGTTTAACCGCCAGTCAAAACCGGACGGTTTTCGGTTAAACGATTTAAAAAAAAAATTATTAAAAAAAAAAAAAAAAAAAAAAAAAAAAAAAAAAAAAAATCATTTTTTTTTAATTTTATTTTTTTAATTGTTGATCGACTGTGAAAAAAACCCATGCGGGAAGGACTTTCATTTAAAAGAACATTTAGAAGAATGTGTAAGATCATTAATGTAAATTAAAAACAGTAGAGGACCTAGGATAGAACCTTGTGGTACGCGTGTGTAAAACTTGGATGAATTATTATTATATACTACATAATTATTGAGATCTATTACAAAGATTACTTTCAAACCAAGATGAGTGTTGTTCTAGTTTCGGAGTGGTCAACACACAGATTACTGAGCTGGTAGACATTGCCAGGCATAGTACCAGGTGGAGGGGCATAATTAAATCGAAACTTTAAAAAAAAAAAAAAATTATTAAAAAAAACAAAAAACAAAAAAAAACGGGAAAACGAAACCGTCCAATTGAAAACGGAATCCGCCATGGGCGGTCGGATACCGGACGGTAAAACGTTTGACTACAGCACTACCATAATTGTCCAGAAAGTAATTATAATTTATTTAAACCATTGTTTTATAAAGAAAATGGATTCATAAACTGATTTTGCTATACATACATTTTAAAATTATTAAAAATGTTGTAATTTAAAAAAAAAAATTTTCTTCTAATTTTATATTCATGATTTATATTGGAAGACTGGTAATTTAAAAAAAAAATATGACAATCATAGAGTATGAACTATTAATTGGTTTGCCAAATATGAACATGGCTTGTTTAAGTTTGAATTTATGAGTAATTGAATATTAATTATAAAGAAATTATTGGTACCATTTTGCAAACAAAGATAAACATGAGAATCTGTGTTACCATGAATTTGAAAAATTGTGTTAAAAAACCAGGCATGTCTCTGCGACCCAAGCGACTAATAGTAATTTTGAAAAGCCAATGTGTTTGAGAAATGGGAAGAGCTGCTCTTTAAGCATACCTGCCAACTGTTCCATTTAAAAATAATATTCTGATTCTTTTTTCTTCTCTTGTTTTACCATGTGCCGCAATTTGAGAGTTGTGTATAGCATGCGTTGAATGGCTGGAGGATTGAGCTGTGAATTTTTTATTAGCTTTTTTGTACAGATTTACCGCATATCGCCAGTTACACTGTCGCTGCATACATGGCAGTGGTAAGGCTGTGCGATCGCCTGTTTAGGGTACATATTTCTTATTTTCAAATGTTGGCAGGTATGTTAAAGATATTTCGATTCAAGAGATGTCTTCAGAGAAAAATCCAGTCAGAGATTAGGAAAGAATACTGGAAATATCTTGAGTCAATGTTTTAAGGAGGCAATGATAACAACCGGTATGTAGCCATGAAGATATTTTTGTGCTTCATTAAGCATAAGCAGGGTGACAGTGGTGGAATCTCACATCTCAACTCAGATGGAAGGAGCTAAAACAGACGCCACTGAGAAAGTTAAGCCCTCAACCACTAATACCAAGCGGTGTTTACGAAAGAGACTCCAGTCGCACCTGATCTGCTACCTGCCAACTCGCCTTATGAAACCATGCCAGCTATCATTATTACACCGGCAGGTATCAAGAAATTTCTTGACAATCTAAAAACAAGGAGTGCCCATGTCCTGATGGGATTACTCCACTAGTACTCAAGGAACTGTCAGGTATCATAACATCTTGTGTGCCATCTTCAGGAAGTCTTACAGCACTGAAGATACCAGATGAGTGGAGATATGCCAACATAGTAAGAAGGGAGACAGATCAGAATCGAGCAACTACAGACCAATCTCACTAACCTGTATCTTATATAAACTGATGGAGCATATCCTAGCTAGCAACATCATGATGCATGGAAACTTCCAAGATCTCCTTTACCCACTGCAGCATGGTTCAGGCAACACAAGTTGTGTGAGCTACCGCTGTTAGGACTGGTGAGCAACCTGATGAATAACCTGCAAGATGGTAAACAGACGGACATCCTAGTGCTGGACTTTGGCAAGGCATTCAACAAGGTTGGCCACTAGCGTCTCATCCAGAAACTAGACTACTATGTAGTGAGAGGACCCAACAACCATTGGATTGCCAGCTTTGTGCAGAACAGAAAGCAGCAGGTGCTCCTGGGTGGATATAGATCATCTCAAATCAACATGGAATCCTGGGTGCCTCAGGGCTCTGTCCTTGGCCCATGCCTTTTCTTGTACTTGACAAATGACTTGCCTGACCAACTCAAGTCAAGAGCTCAACTGTTTGCTGATGATGCATCATCTACCTCACTGTACAAAGTCTATTGGTGACCAGCTGCAACAAGATCATAACAAACTCAGTGACTGGACCAGCAAGTGGATGGAACTGAACACCAAAGAGTATGAGGTTATCTCAGTCACCAGGAAGTTAAACAGGGTTCTGCACCAGTAAAAACTCAGCAACTCCATCTTTACTCCTGTAGAAGCCACAAAATGCCTTGGTGTCATAACAACAGACCTTAGATGGAACAGACAAATTGACAATGTCTGCCCAAAGGCTAACATCACCTTGGCCTTCCTATGAAGAAACCTGGGGTGAACTCACCCAAATTGCAAGCAACAGCATACAGAACACTAGTTAGACCCCTGGTGGAATATGCGATGAGAACACCTTCGTCTTGTGTTGCTCTACAATATCCACAGCCAGCTAGTTCCATTTAAAGCCCAAGTCTACTCCAATTTTCAAAAATGATAGCATGTTGTAAATAGATCAAAGGTTCAAACTGCAAAATATCATGGACGTAATTCAATCAGGTGATTTTTAAGAACGACTTTTGTTTCGGTTATTTTGAGCAAAACATGTAAATGGCCGCACGGATGTGACGTTTCTCCTCACAACGAAAGTGCCAGCAGACAGCAGTACACATTTTGAGAAAGGCTATTTTCATAATGTAACCAAATTCAATGCATACGTCTTGGTGAAGTGCCTCGATACAAACATGGTAAGAATAATAGTATTTCAGTAGACAATAGTATCCGAACTGCAACAATTTCGTTGCCAGGTAGGGTAAACATTATGGATTGCCCTACCTAGCAACACTTAATATATGCTGACTGTTGAAAAACTGTTATTCTTATCAGGTGAATGATACTTGTACAACTTCACCTGGTATGTCATATTTTCAAGAAAATGGCTGCGCACATGGCATGCTAAAAGGCATCACATCATGCTAAGAATATCTTCATTTATATACATATCTCTTGTACATTTTTGCAAGGAATACTGTACAATAAAGGGCAGGAATACATCTCATTTTTCAGAACACCTACATTTATTCTTTGGGGTGAGGTTTACTTCAAGATAGTAATTTTTTATATGGGCTAGTAGAGCAGCACAATGGCAAAATTATCTAATATTTTCGGTACAATTTACATTGCAGTACAGTCAAACCATTGTAGTAAGTTCATTTACGTTAAATCAAATAAATAAGAGGAACAGAATGGCCAAAGTTAAAAACAGATTAGACAAAAACTAGTAATCGTAAAATCATGAATGCTTGAAATATAGAAATATAAGATCACTAAATCTATGGGAATCGTGAATGGCAACGTGGTCAATGGATTAAGATGTATTCACGGTCAACGCTCCTGTTTGTCGACTGAGGTGGCTCAGTTGGTAAAAGCATCTGCCTGCAGAACCAAAGATTGTGACCCAAATTCACAAAGGAGGTTTGTCAACAAACCTAGGTTTAACAGGTTTGTAAAAA